ATTTATAAAATTTAGTTGCAGCAAATCCTTCCACACCAACATTACTATATAATATCCTTCAATAGAGTTATTTAACACGAAAGTAGTAAGTACACAAAGTATATGTTTTGAATACATAACATTAACTTGTTGCAAAATTTTAGATAGCATATTATAGACTCTAATGACTTCCAATAGTTCAATTTCACATTTGCTATTACAATTCTTATGGGTATCCATTTGATGGAGTTCCTTAAAATGTTGCATTTTTCTATTTAAAATCATGAAAGATTCAATAATATAGCACAGGAATGTAGCATGTTGTAATAAAATTAAGTGTATCAAGAGCACCATGACTACTAGATAAACTGCAATACCTGCCGATGATAATTCCTCGTGAATCACCATACTCACTGATCCGTATAATGTTAATAAACTGTGATAAAAAGTAATTATGCCATTAATATACAAATATATCCTAACGTTGTGCACACGTCGCTTAAAAATTGATCTGCTAAAGTAATTCCTTTCCAGTCCTATCAGAATTTTTATAATTTGTATTAATTTCGGCTGTCTTCGACAGCGCAATCCTATCGTTAATATCACAACAATTGCACGAAAGACAGCATTAACCGCATTTGTGTACCATGAGAGCGGTATAACAGCATATATGGTTTCTTTATTGAAAATATATCGCATAGATAATATTGCTAGTAGAAAGATGGATAAATTCTGCAAGTACGTAAAAATTTCTAAAAATTTATTTCGTCGAACAATTTTACCCCTAAAGCTGATTTGCACAGAACTGAAGCCACAGAATAAGCTGAAAAATATTAACGCCTTTAAGGCTAACATGTTTAACTGCCACTTAACCTAACTTCAGTACAACTGACCTAAAATAAATTGCAATATTTGCTACACCTGCCATTTGTCATTAAGTAAATATTATTGTTCATATTGAGAGTAAATATTGAATGCATTAAACCTTATTTGCATATACAGACAAAAAGAATTAATCAAATTATAGGAGGAAAAAGTGAATGTTTCTACTTTATAAAAAATTCTAATAAAAATTGATATAAATGCATGGAAATTATTAAAAATTGTGCTAATCTAAAACAGCTAATTAATTAATTGCGCCTGCGATTAATTTAATATATGTAAATAACTATAGTTTCAATTTATCATACAAATTGTAATGATTCAGTTCATATATTATTTCATTCATGTCATTATATTAACTGATTATGTTAGTAAATTCGCTTTACTTCAATACAAAATTAAATCTCCAGATTCATATAAATACTGTAGCGCCATTGGCTTCAAGAAATCGAAAAAGATTCTTATAATTGAACCCAGTATTCATACGTAAATCGAAGTTCAAACGGTACTAAACCTCTCTACTCAATTTAGAAGTATATGGTCGGATTGAATGCAAGTTTAACACGTCCTACAGAAAGACCAGTGTACTCAGTTCCTGATAACTGGATTCATTGTTTTATAAGCAAAGAGTTACAGGTAATGAAATCTGTATTTTATATAATAATATTACATGATAATGGACCTGATCAGCAAGAACTCCACAAACAGTGCTATTACGTGGACTGTTAAATAAGCTATTTGCTTATTTATTGATGATTATTAATTAGAGTTCGTTTGCAGGCACATTTGTTATGTACACACATTCTCCAGTTTCCTGCAGGAAGTTTGGTTAGTATTCTTATAACACTCGATCTAGAAATAAAGTCTTCTCTTAATTCTTCTTTATCTAACCAACGTATTAACCGAATTTTTTCTGGAATATAGTCTTCAGTTCTAAAGACATAACTAATTTATCAAAGCTTGTGAATAATAAGTTACTAAACATATTCAATATCACGAAAAAGCTCGTAGAACTTTCCGTTTAATTGTCGGTATATGATATAGAACCAAAACTGTTAGTGCTGTTTTATTATTTTGTGACGATATTTTTGTTTATGCACTGTAAAATTCTAGTATTGGTCTTAAATAAGTTTATTTCGAAATGTCTGACATTTTTCAAAATAACCCTTTCAAAAAAAAAAAAGACTTTTGCGAACTTGATGCAAAGATTTCTGTTTTTTATTCAAAGATGTAGGCTACAGATATTCAAAGAAAGAGTATTTCAAAGAAGGAACTTCTAAGTTTTTACAAATCTGTTGGAGTAAGTTGATATATACAAATCTGTATAAATCAACTTTGCTTCTCCATTATGAATATATTATAATAATCTCAAATAATCTCATGTGTAAATGACTTTGGATCCAGGATCAATAAAATTACGTGGACAAGTTTCATGTGACAAAATGACTTCAATTATCTTAGAAAATTTTTTTTTGTTTTCTAATTTAATGAAAATTTGTTATGTATTCTGTCAAATAATGTTGTGACATTATACAATTTTTTGATAAATAAGATTTAAGTCTTAATTATTTACAATTTAGGTAGTTCTACCTACTTAAGTGGGTGTTGGGATGAATTTATATTCGTTCACGTTATTTTCTGGCTATTATCCTAAAATCCCGATAGATTTGGATATTAGTTACATACCATGGAGCCTTTACCATTTCTCGTAGAGTCTTGGATTTAAATCTTTGAAGAATTTCGATGTTGGATGTTGAGGCTGTTGCACATAATGCCATAGTTCCATACTGGCTTTAGCACAATTTTGTATAAAATAAGTTTATTTTTTAGGGATACTGAAGATATTATATCGCTAGAAATTTTGTTTAGTTAAGAATATGTATTTTCAATGTCGGACATCTATCCAAATGCAGGCTCACATATTTGGCGCTGTTTGATTGCGGAATTATTATGTTATTAAATTTAATTTCGGACAGGTGTCTCTTCTTCTTGCGACCGTGACATGAGTAGTTTTTATACAATTTTGTAAAATTCTTCAAATATTCTATTTAGTTGTTAAAGCAAATATCATATAAACATAAAAATATAACGAAATTTCACTATTTATCTTTTTAAACATATCATTTTATATATAGTATATACTACAAATTTTTAAAATTAAATTCTCTTAAATTTTAATGTAACAAATTAAACGATAAATTTTTCAATACATTTAAAAAAATCAAATATATATTTATTATAAATGCTGATAGTCCGTTTGTACTAATATTATACTATATAACACAATTTTAACTAATATAGCAAAGGTGAGGCCTCGATTGATATCAAACATGCCACATATATTAACTTTTGGAGAATGGTACGCTAATTGAAGTGTTAGTAAGTCGATCTAAATGAAATTAATTCTTCTTTATTATTGTATGATATATTACAATATCTACTTATTTTCTTACCACTCTCATTGAACCCTTTACTGTATTATGAGGCAAATTGTTATATTGCCGCATGATGAAATTCGTGTTTTTTGTCTCCAGATTAATCCAATCGCAAATAGTTTCATAATTATAAAAAATTACAAAAATAAGTAAATACGTAGATACACCCAAAGTTTTACTCAGTGCAGTCAATTGCTGTAAATCTTTCCACACCAACATTACAGCATAATATCCTTCAATAGAGTTGTTTATCAAGAATGTGGTCAGAACGCAGAGTATATATTTTGAATACAATTCATTAACTTGATGCAATATTTTAGATAGCATATTATAGACTCTAATGACTTCCAATAGTTCAATTTCACATTTACTATTACAATTCTTATGGGTATCCATTTGATGGAGTTCCTTAAAATGTTGCATATTTCTATTTAAAATCATGAAAGATTCAATAATGTAACACATGAATGTAGCATGTTGCAATAAAATTAAGTATATTAATTGTATCATGACCGCTCCATATGCTGCTATTCCTATTGATGAAGGTCCTTTGTTAAGCACCATTCTCACTGCACCAATTGCTGTCAACAGACTGTGACATGAAGCAATTATGCTATTAACATACAGATATAATCGTATATTGCTCGTATTTCTTTTACTAATTGATTTGCTAAAGTAATTTCTTTCCAGTCTTATTAGAATCTTTATAAGTTGTATTAATTTCGGTTGTCTTTGCCAGCGTAATCCTATCGTTAACATCACCACAATTGTCAGTGAAACAGCATTGACTGAATTCGTGTACCAGGATAGTGGTATGACAACATAAATAGGTTCCTTTTTAAAGTCATTTAACATGGATAATATTGCTAACAAGATAATTGAAACGTTCTGCAAAATCGTATAAACTTCCAAATACTTATTTCGTCGAACAATTTTGCCTATGAAGCTGATTTGCACAGAACTGAAACCACAGAGTAAACTGAAAAATATCAACGCTCTTAAAGCTAACATGTTTAACCGACATTTAACCTTACTTCAATGTAACTGACCTTAACTAAATGAAGTTAAATGCAATAATAGGTTCGGCTACTTTTTACACTCCTGATGTCCTTAGTAAAATATTATTGTTCGTACTGACAGCTAATATTAAATGCATGAGGGGTTATTTGCCTAGACATTCAAACTGAGTATACAAAATAATAGCAGAATAAAGTAAATGGTTTTACTTAATAATAAAATTCGATAAATAAATAATTGGATAATAATCAAATAAATGCAACTTAGTGAAAATTAATGTCTTTTTATGTACAGATATTCACAGCGGTTAAACGTTTTAATATATATCCAATCAAGTAATTATACACAGAAAAAGTTTAATATACGAGTATGACTATTATTATTATTATTTTTATAATAAGTTAACTAGTGGTGATTATCAGTAACTAATTCAACAATAATTTATATAATTTTATTATATTAATTTATTAATTATGCCAGTAACTTAATGGGTTTATATACTATTATTTAATAAATTATATATTATTTTTCTTAAAATAATAAAAACATAATTAAAAATATACTATTTTTATAACAAGCTAACTCATACTAATTATCAGTAACTTATAGTAAATATTATAATTTGGTAATATTAATTAATTGATTATGTTAATGACGCAACCTTTCTCCAATACTTTGTTTTGATCTTTACAAAATCATGTCACCATATTCATCCAACTCCATCGCGACACTGGCTTTAAGAATCCGGAAACGGTTTTCGTAGTCAAACTGCACTAATATCAGCGTATGTCTGAGACTGAAGGACCATAAAGCCAATGAAGCCTGCTTGCTCAAATTAAACATGCCACCCATACTGATCAGTAATTTATGTTGCATTAATTGTAGAGAGAATATTTCGCACTAAAAATATAAGAAATTAAATATTGAATCCAACAAATTTAATATGCAATTTCTATTGTACACATTTACATGACGCATGAATTCGTCGTCCATTTTCGGCAATGCATGAAGTTCTCTCAAAATTTCAGATGTCTCCTGATAAGCTCGAGTGATTTTATCACATATCCAATAAAAAAGATATAAATCAATGAAGAGCACCGCATACGACATAATACCCGCTACCATGCCCCACTTACTTATCGTGATATTCAGTGATCCATCAGCATATATTACAACATAATAGCCCACAGTGATATCATTAACAAGATAGGTCAATAGTACAGCTATAGTCTGGTATTTATAACTATCGTTTACACTTTTTATGATAGTAGTCAATCGGCAGTGAATTCTTGAGATTTCATACAAATCGGCAGCAGCCAATCGGCTCAATTGCTGCAGTGTGAAACTTTGCTTATTGAGCACATTTCTTCCTTGTAAGTACAGACGATTCAATATGTGGAATTGTTTGACCAGTTGTGCATTGAGTACATTGTAACGTCTGCATCCATGCCACAAGACACTGAAGTAATGAAACATCACACCATGCAAAACATATTGCGTATTTGATACATAAAGTGATAAGAAAAATATTTTTAAATTGTATTGATTTGACATCAGAATTGAACCGGTGAATACAATGACTGCTTGTGAAAAAGCAGTTGCAAATTTTGCATAATAAAGCCAATCAAATACTTCGTTGTTTAAAGGCTCCACTGTCTTGTCAAAGTAACGAGCATCAATCCCGAACATTTCCTTAGTGAGTACTTCAAAGCGTTTATCGCGTTTCCAACGTAAAGCCATTGTTAGTGTAACTGCAGTAAGTCTTATGATGATGTTCACTATAAAAGTCAGTCTCAGTAGTTCATTATCTGCTAAATTCTGTACTACACTGTAGCCAATGTTGAATACGACTGGCATTAAAACAATTGTCAAAATATTTAAGCAAAATGAATAAATCGTCAGAAATTTGGATTTGAAAATTTTGCGTTTTTCTATGTCAAAAAGAGTCGCCGTAACTCCTATTGAGAGTATGTAGAAATAGGAGAACAAAAAGATGAAATACCTAGTACGCGTTATTGGCTTCATTACCGAAAAGCTGTTGAAATGGAAATGCTCTTAATACGAATTCAAACATATCCCACACAGAAGCCTTAGCTACTTAGATACTAATGAGGTTTTTGCTGATAAGCGGAGTAGTGCTCATTAGCAGCGGGATTTCTTTCTACTAATTACATTTCGATTAAAAATGCTTTGATTGAATTAAATGATTTATATGATATTGTGTTAAGTACAAAATTATTAAGAGCATGATTTGTATAACACTAATATTCCACATCATAATTGTATATTCATCTTTGATTTAAATTAGTTATTATATATAGAAATTCATTTATCAAAGCATAATAATGATACATAAATAATATCTTATATATAAAATTTCCATGTCACAATGTTAGTTACCGTACTCCTCCGAAACGGCTTTACCGATTTTTACCAAATTTTATATGCGTATTCAGTCTGAGAATCGGCTACTATCTATTTTTCATACCGCTAAAGTGATTAGGGAGTCCCTACCCAGCAAAAATATCCTTATTGCTTTAACAAAAAGTTTTTTATTTTTTTGACATAAATTTTGTTTATATTTTTGAAAAAGAAAAATTTTTTTCTTAATATTTTATGTAACTACGCCAACAAGTACATCGAGCATTACATCCACTTCGTTCTTCGTCTTCGCCTTGCATGGCAGATGGAAAATGTACTAAAAATTTTTCTAAAGATTTCACTAATGGTACTATAACAAATACCGACGGATATCCAATATATCGTCGAAGAAATCCCGATAATGGGGGACAATGGCGGGTGGTGCCGTATTCGCCTCTGCTAAACAAGACATACAATGCTCATATAAATGTTGAGTTTTACAGTTCTGTGAAGAGCATCAAATATATAAGTATGTCCATAAAGGCAGTGATATGGCTGTGTTTAGAATAGAAAATACTAATGTAAATGCTCCTCCAATGAACAAAAACGGTGAAATTACGCTCTACCAAATTGGTCGGTACATCAGCTCCAATGAAGCTGCTTGGCGTATCTTCGGTTTTCTAATTCATGAACGGGATCCAACAGCTGTTCAGTTAGCCGTCTATCTTGAAAACGGTCAGCGTGTATTTTTCACGAACGAGACAGTGATTGATCGTGGTACAAATCCACCTAAATCTACACTCACTGCATTTTTTGAATTGTGTAATAGTACGGATGATTTTGGTGCCTTTGCAAGAACATTACTCTATTCACAAGTACCACGCTATTTCACATGGGCTCAAACAAAAAAAAGGATGCCCCGCAAGCAAGTTTCACCAGTTGATCCATGTCTCAATTTATTTAAATCGAACGCTTATTTACAGTTAATCCAAGACACACTGAGTGCTTTTATCTTCGACTGTTGTTGGTTAATGTTACTGGCGCATTATCATTATTATTATTTACAGTCAATCCAAGACAATTTAAATTTGAAGATACAGCAGTTGTTGCCAGGGAACTTGGTATCATACAAATCTATTGATTTTAAATATATAATTTAATAAATAAACTATAATAACTTAAAATAAATATTGTTTGGCGTTTGTTATTTTTATTTTCCTTTTCGTTCATAGCGCTCCATGCCTATTTCATGCATATACCACATACTTACACACTTATAATAAGAAAGTTACTTTTTATCTACACTAGAATTTATCTAGAAACTAGAAATAATTTATAAGGCAAAACAACGTTTGTCGGGTTATCTAGTATATATATAATAACATCAATCTTACATGTAAGCTTAGTAAATACTATCACTCCTTTTGCATAGTCAAAGCTCAATCATTGAAAAAAATGTGGAAGGAAGCTTTATCATGAAATATGAATTCTATAATAACCGATTTAAACACCGTTTTCATGAAACGACCCTAGTAATAAAATTAATAATAAAGATTACTGTTATTAGAACTTAGAGGCTGTAATGATACCTTAATCGTATTCACAAAACGGCCCTAGTAATATCAAAACTTTACTCTTTCAATACATTACCCAGAGAAGTAACAATAGGTGTACATGATACTACCATACGGGTTAAAGTCAAAGAAAATATTTCATAAAATTAGCAAAATAAATAGATAAATGTTATTATCAGCTAATGAACAATTGATATATACCAAAAATTAAAAATAAGGATTCCGTTGGAATATAGATTACTGATTTAAGCCATCAGAAAGACTCTAAGTATTTCCAATCTTACCAACACAATTTTAAACAACATGAGACCTTACAACACATTCAAAGAGTGTCAGACACTGATGCATTTAATAAAGTAGTACCAACGCAAATATCTCAAATTAGATGAAAACATAAAACTATGTAATGTAGCTTCAATATTACAATTTATAGATAAAAATTGACTTCGGTTTGTCTTTAAAATCTGTAATAGGGACATGACAGCTCTTTAGGTTGCAGTACAAATTTCCAAAACATAATAATACATAGTTTTAAACAGCCAAACTGATTACTTTTGTGACGATTATTCATACTTACAATGAATGAAAATGAAAAAAAATTTTCTAACAGTGTAAGAATATAAGATAGACAAAAGATACCGTCGAAATACTTGTATGTAAATACTGTACTGTATAACCTCTTCCTTTGGGAAAAGGATTTTATTGTTTCGAAGGTTTTGGCGTGTATTTTCTAGACAGTGGATTGTCATTTACGACATCCTACGATAGGTGATATTTAACCCCACGTAATCCAGATGCACACAAATATGGCTATTTTGGACACTGAATTAGCACTGGAAGAATTGTCGTGGTGACTGCAATTAAACATTGTGTTTTCACTTAATGTGTAGTTACTTTTTTGATTCATTGTTGTGACCTAAAGACCAGCAGAAGTTTTAATGGATCTTGCTTCTCAACACGGACAAAGCTATATCCAAACAAGTGGCTTCAATTTTTACTGGTAGTATTCCTTCCAATATAAATGCCTATCGCTGTCTTATTTTGATATATACGTTTGGAACGCCTTGGGGTTAAACCGACACCACAGGTAATCATATAAAACAGGAGAGTTGTTTACTCTGTTCTGTTAGCCATTATCTATGATGCCACAAAGCCATCAATTATATTCAGATGTATCAGCATTAAATATTCAAAACCGGTTTCTACTGAGCTTTGAAAGTCTTACATTGTTATTTGGTGCCATAGCTTGTAATGCTTTATCAGAAGTACGAAGAGAATTTTGATATTCTCTTTATTAATTATAAACTATCTATGATTAGACTGTGATGTATAGGCTGATGACCAGACTTAAGTTGAAGTTTCTTTCAAAATATGAGATTTTCTATTATGTGCCTTGTCGATAAAGTACAAATTGAGTAAAGGGTCTTATTAGGTGATACGAACTAGTTGTTTTGAAAAGCGGATATCTCTATCCAATAAATGAACGATTGGCGACATATACACATGGCTACAAAAACATTTTATATGATATTCTGACATAGTAACTGCAGTATATACACCGTGTCTTCATAGATTTTTTCGTTTGTGTTTATTTTTCTCTACAATTAACGTGAAATAATTTAAACAAAATTACAAATAATTAAATTCTACTTTATAGTTTATATAAATCAACTTATAATACTTAATTTGATTAATATTCATTAAAATAATTATCTTATCTAAGTATTTCACTGTGAACTACAAATTTATTTCTTAATTTTTTTTGGTATTTGATGTATTCAATTGACATACACACAGTATTTCTTTCTTAGATAGAAGCTTATGTTATGCGTAATTTTGGTATTGTTTGTCCTTATGTCCACGATGTCCTTTCAGCTTAACAGATTTTGTCTTCTTAAGCTTCGCACAAGTATTTGGTAATCCTTGTTTGCTGTGAATGCGTGAACAAGTGTGCAATGGCTTGTGCTGTAGTGTCTGAAGGATTATTCACTTGAGTGCTAAGTTGACGTTTATTGACTAAACGAATCATTAATATTAATGGTGTGACCAAAAAATACTTTTAATGGAAAACAAATAAATAGTTAGTGGGATAGTTTGACATATGTGACATCAGAGTTATTTGTAAGCATTTAGAAAGTTTTAACTTAAGTAGATTATTCTGTTTGTTTATCATAATCGACTACCAAAATGCATAATTGAAGAATTGTGAAATTATTCACAAACAAATAACTTAACTGAGTATACTTATATTTTCTGCAAATTGTTAAAATAAAATTAAAATAGGTAATGTGTGTGAAGTGGAAGGCAGGGAAAAAAAATAGATTACGTTTTTATTATTGTAGAAAACTTATAACCAGATTATAACTTATATTATTTCTAATAAATATAATACAAAAAAAAATTCAAATTTTATTTCTTACACAAATAAGAAATTTTTTAAGTATTTATTTTAAATTTTTATATACTATTAGTTTAAATAAGAAGACACAAAGTTATTTCTTTGGGTACTATCTAATATCGATAGTTCTTACCTTTATATTACACTTGAAATAGAAGCTCCTGCGGTATAAAGGGCGTTGAGGCATGTAGGAAATTTTGTTCATATCGGTATTATGAATATTTTTTTTTATTTTATTAATTATTTTCACATTCTTTTACAATGAGGACTTAAAATAGTCAATATTAATCCTTGTCTGTAATATTATAGTGTAATAATTAATATATAATTAAATCAAACGCTTTGGTTTTCTTAAGCCATCGTGCGAGATGTTCCGTTTGAAGCAGTGATTAATCATATGTGTTGCA